ATATAAAAGAATAATTATTATTTTTTATATAAAAAAGGGGTAATATTACGTGGCAGCGCGTGTTGATTACTACCTAATACGAATCTGGGCGTGAGTTTGTAGGGGGCTAGATATTTCACTTTTAAAAGGTTCAGGGGGGTGATAGGACTCCCGTGAAGAATAAGTGTGTAGTTGAGAATTCGGTAATAGCTTAGGGGGGCTTTTGGCCATTTAATATTCAACATTATTGTCATTCGTACTATTGATTGATTTTTTTTTCTGTTAGCATTAGTATTGATTTTTTATTTTGATATGAGTTTTGTTAGAGTTACGAATATCTATGGAATATAATATTTATTATACTATTCAAAATTCTAAGTCAAACTCGATATAATACGTTAAAAGATAAAAATTATCAAAAAGTATAAGAAATATTTATAAGTTATATCAAAGTAAATACTTTTATGTATAAAATATATTTTAAAAATCATATATATTTATATACACATGATGTAGGGTTGGTTTGATTTCGGGTTAACTCTTTTAAGTTAAAATTAAATCAACCCAATATAATCGGGGTTTTTTTAATACCAAGTCAAATCAAATTTCTAGTCGAGTTTTTTTCTCAATTTGACTCGATTCACAGTTTGATGACATTTTCGATTCGACTTTGTTCGCCCCTACCAGTAGAAACCAGACCAAGTCAGTGTATCAATTTAACTAAATTCATAGACCCTCACCAGTAGAAGTAGCCATTTTGGGAGAAAGTCTACCAACATTTTACCATGTAATATTTATTCTGTTCATTTATATGATACTATTTGATTTGATACGGTGTATAAGAAAAATAAATATTTTAACATTTAACGTAAAATAATCTTTAGATATTTGTGTGGCTATAAAATATTTCATCAAGAGTAAATGAGAATTTTAAAGTTAAATTGTTTCTAATTATTGTAGTGACATTCTTTTTAGGATGAACTAAAAAGAAAAGGGTGTCACATAAAATGGGACGGAGGAAGTAGGCTTTTAGATAATTATGATTTCCTTTCTTACTTGGGTACTTATATAACATGGGTGAACAAAACTGAACTAAAACCGTATCAAATCGCAAATCGAGTAAGATCGGGAAAAAAAATCAACTAGTGATTTGGTTCGATATTGCAAAAAAATAAATAACTAAACTTAGATTGGTTTGGTTTTAACTTTAAAAGTCAATTCGAGATCAAACAAACCCGATATTATATATATAAAAAAAAAATTAAAAAATTGTACATAAAAGTATTTACTTGATATAATTTATAAATATTTCTTATAATTTTTTTTATTGTTTTTGTCTTTTAACATATTATTTCAAGTTTAACTTAGAATTTTGAATGGTCCAATAAAGGTTATAATCCATAGATATTAGTAACTCTAATAAAGTTCAAATCAAAATTAAAGCAATACTAATGCTAACAAAAAAGAAAGTCAATTCAACACTAAAAATAACAATAATATTGAATAATTGTTCTTTAGGTTTACATTGGTTTAGACAATTAAAATACATAATGGAATTTTAGTTGTTCTTTAATATTTAGTTATATAATTAATACTCATTACCCTTATTTTAGCATGATTTAATACTTTTAAATTATGATCATTTTCATTATGACTTATTTATGTGTAATATTTGTTTAATGCAATTTCATTATTACTTTTTATTAATATTTTAGTGTCATCATTTCTATCATATTTCGTGTTATTTTCTTTAAATAAAAACACCTTAGATAATTGCATTTTTATAGGACTAGAGAAATATTTGAAGCGCAAGTTAATTATATGTTTGTATGAGAATATTTTACCCAAAAAAAATTCAAAAAAATCCGAAATAATAGGAGGTTGAAAACCCAAATTTTATTAATTTAGTTTGGTTCATAGATTTATAAACCCAACAAAAATGGTTTAGTTTTATATTTAAAAAATCGAACAAACCTGGTCCATGTACACCCCTTTATGCATATATTTACCTTTTCCATTTTCCCTTTTGCTATTGTTATTCTCTTATTATTGAATATTTTGAATTCTTCCAAATAGTTAAACTTTCTGCATTCTTCAAACCGATTATAATTGTCTGGTTATAAAAAGATCAAATTTATCATTTGGTGTCTTCTTTAAGATTTCAACCATTGCAACAAGTAACTATTATATTATGTAACATAATCTGATATCATTATATCAACTTATTAAATTCTTGAGCAAAATTTTATTATTTTAAATTTATATTATATTTTTACGTGGATCTAATCCATGTCGACCTATGATGCCCACTCAGTACATGTGGTGTATTAATACTACTCTTGCTACACATTTTATTCGTGTAGGTTGTTCAAGCGTGGAAATTGGAGGTTACTCATCATCAACTTCAGTCTACTTTATTTTCAAGTGAAAGTTGTGTCTATCTCCTGTGTATTTATGTTATCTGTACTCTGTTAGAAATTCCAGTAATTGTCTAGACTAGATTCTGTGAGAATTTTTTTACTTGTAAAGGATTTGAAATGGATTTTCTTGTTGATTTCATTTTATCAAAAGATAAATGTCACTCAAAGGTTTTCTATTGTTAAGGTAAAATGGTAAAGGTTTGCATATCTAATGAAATTATAGTAGGTGTCTGCACGGTTTCATAATTTGGATCGTAATTATAAGCATCATAAATCACTTTATGGCTTTAAGCAAGTGTCCCGACATAATACACTAAGAGGTCGTTTGGTAGAGTGTATTAGGAAAAATAACGCATGCATTAGCATTGTGTATTACTAGTACCTTGTTTGGTACTCTTTTCCAACCTATGTATAACTAATGCTTGCATTAGTTATACACTCTATTGTGTATTAAGGTGTGTATTGCTAATACTATGAATTTCTAGGTATTAGCAATGCAATGGTTTTAATGCATGCATTAGATTAACTAATGACAAAACTACCCTCTAAGCCTAATAATAATAATAATAATAATAATAATAATAATAATAATAATAATAATAATAATAATAATAATAATAATAATAATAATAATAATAATAATAATAATAATATTATAATAATTATTATTATAATAATAATTATAATAATATTAATTATAATAATAATAATGTGGGGGTATTTTTGTAAACAAATATTTTTTAATAGTCTTTATACAAGGCTTGCTATTTCCAATACATCAAACCAAACAATGTATAAGAAATAATGCCAACATAACTAACTACAATTTCTCCTCATTGCTGGCTTCGTTACCTCTAACATTGATGTTTCACATTTACTTTGTATAACATTAATATTGTTGCTCAACTACTTACATATGTTAATGATTAGGGGTGTACAAAATCAAATCGAAAATCGAATCAAACCGCAAATCGAGTCAAATCGAATAAAAAACTCGACTAGTGGTTTGGTTTGACTTGGTTTGGTATTGGAAAAAAAAC